GCTCCAAAATGGCTAAAAAATAGAGACCAACATTAAACATCACAAAAAGGAAGCAGTGCAGCCAGGCCTACCTGTTGTAGCTTAATAGCATAGTAGCATAACATGTTTCTTTATTTTCTCGTATTCGTCTTCAACGTGGATTCGTCTTCAACGTGCGTGCCTCGGTAGCACATCTTTGACCTCAATGCTGCTTCCATATTTAGCCCCAATATTAATGAGTTCTTTCACAACTTCAATGAACCCTCGTCCTTCAACAATAACGAACGCTCCTAGATCCTGGCTGCAGTGCACATACGAGCCATCACGTCTGTGAATCTCGACTTTACAGTCACTGGCACCTTACGCTTCATAAATTAAGAAATTGCCGGTTGCCTTGAGTGGGCTGCTTTGCATGTGTGACGCTGAAGGCCACTCGTGCCTGAGTCGGAATGGTATTTACTAATTTGTCTACATGTCTTGCAGCTGGCGTATGGCGTTTTCACGCTGTCTTTCTCAACTCGTAAACATTTTTTGGTTACTTCAGACCGCCCAGAAATGTCGATGTGCACAGCTGAGGTATAATTTTCCAACAGTAGACGTTTCAGCGTGGCTTTCATGTCTGACTCCATTTTGATTATGATTTTTGCGGTTACAAAGTGCATGGGGAAGCCTTCTTCTTATATTATTGGTGGTTGGCACTGGCATAACAACTTGGTGAATTACCGCCACCAATTGTTGCGGGTGTGGAGCACGTCATTCACTTAACCAGCCACAACAAAGCATCAGGAGGAGAGCATAAAGAGACAGGGCAACTAGAATTGAGTTCAAAATCAAAATATATAGTTTATTTATATAAAAGGTATATTTGTGAATAAAGTTGGGTATCCTAGTTGTTATTATGATTCTCGGTCCCGCCCACTCCCACTGACATTTTTTCCTGTCCCATCCCAATCACGTGATTAATAGTGATTTCGGCTGTGTCCGAAAGCCTAGGCAGCTGACTTGCTGCCTCGCTGCCTTATCAGGCAATGACTCTGGAGGCAGCGTTTGTGCACGAAGGCAGCTCCGAGAAACTGATTCGAACAGGCTTCATAGGTAGCGTAGCGAAAATCTATTTGATTTATAAACAGAGAGTGTCTTTGCAAAATAGCAGTCACATACTTGAAAACTGCAATGCTAATTTCTCGCTAGAAATGCAATCAAAAGTTATTGAAAGTGAAAACTAAACATAAATTTATACAAAACTGTGCTCCAACCGGCTTCTTGGTCGCCATTTTATTTTTGCGAGCTCAATCCTGCTCGACCAATCACATTCCTCGCATGCGCACACACATAGCACTGTGGGACATTGAAGGCAGCGAATGATACAACTATGCTGCCTTCAAAAATCGATCAGATGAAGGTATCTCAGGAGACAGGAAGTAAACCAAACATTGGATTCGGCCTACATCTATCAGCCTACAATGTGATTCCTGTTTGTAATGACACACATTGCACATTTCCTTACCTAGGTAAGTTTGAGCAATATTGGCTCAGACACACATAGTTATTTAGGTTGTTAGTTAAATAAACCTAAGGGTACAGCACCCAAGTTCACATTGCTAAGCCACTAGTTAATTTCTCTGGGTTTCACTAGCCCAGAAACACATTTAAGTCGAGTCACTAGTTTTATGCACTCTGGTCAACCGATCAGGTACAGCAATAGTCTATTTGTGCAGCAGCAGTATGTCTTAAATACTCACAGCACCATATCGGCACATGTATTGGCAGTAGCAACTTCCTGTTATAATGTACAATAATGTACAAACAGAGGTAAGTCCATCACTCTAGCTATCAGTCTTTTCAGTCTTGGCCCAAGTTCTGCATCCGACTCAGATGTGGCGGCCATCTTGGCCGTGGACTCAGGCGTGGCGACCATCTTGGCCGGGGACTCAGGCGTGGCGGCCATCTTGGCTGGGGACTCAGGCGTGGTGGCCATCTTGGCCGGGGACTCAGGCGTAACGTGAGCAGACTCTGAAATGGCGGCCATGTCGCGACGATCCTCTGGAAGATTCCTCTGAAACCCTCCACCTTCCCCAGCTCCACCCGTTTAGATCTGCTACAGGTTATTATATATGCTATTTGTGCAGCAGCAGTATGTCTTAAATACTCACAGCACCATATCGGCACATGTATTGGCAGTAGCAACTTCCTGTTATAATGTACAATAATGTACAAATACAGCAATAACCAGCAGCAGCAGCGTAGCAGATCTGTTCCGCCAAGACCAAATACATTAACATTGTCATATCCATTACCATGCTAAAATCTCCTGAAAGTTGTCATGATAGGACTAATGAATAAATGGCTCACAGATGTTCATTTTACATTAATGTTCAATTTCACAGGTTATTGATGTTTATAACTCATTAACAAATAGTTTACAGGTGTTCTCTTTAAATTAAGGTGCACTTTCACAGGTTATTAACATTTAAAACTCATTAATAAAAGGTTCACAGATGTTCACTTTACATTAAGCTGCACTTTAACTGGTAATTAACGTTTATAACTCATTGATAAACGGTTCACAGGTCTTTACATTAAGGTTTAATTTAACATATTACTAATGTTTATAACTCATGAATAAATGGTTCACAGGAGTTCACTTTACATTAAGGTTCACTTTCACAGGTTAATGATGTTTATAACTCATTAATTAATGTTTCACAGGTGTTCTCTTGACATTAAGGTGCACTTTCACAGGTTACTAACATTTATAACTTATTAATAAATGGTACACAGGTGTTCACAATACATTAAGGTTCACTTCCACAGGTTATTAACATCTATAATTTATGGATAAATGGTTCACCCTACATTAAGGTTCACAGGTAACTAGTAACTTTGATTTTTCCCCCCAAAATAAAGTTTAATAATTTAATCTTGATAAACAAAAGATATCAGTTTTATACATTGCTGTGGATAGGCATCATGGACTTTTGCAGGACATCATGGGTAAGATACTGTAACGAATTCAGTCCACTAAAGGCAAGCGTAGTGAAGAACCCATGTGCAGTTTATTCAAACAAGGTGAAATCCAAAATGCAAACATAATCCCAGACTAGAAACACAGACTTGACTTGACATGAACAGACTTGACGAGGCATAAACAGACTTGACAAGGCATAAACAGACTTGACGAGGCATAAACAGACTTGACAAGGCATAAACAGACTTGACGAGGCATAAACAGACT